CCCCCCCCCAATTGTGTCCCCACAGCTGCCAGAGGGCCGGGATGCCCTGAAGAAGACGTGGAGCCCCAAGTTCACCCTGCGCAGCCATTACGATGCCGTGCGGGGTCTGGCCTTCCACCCCGCCGAGGCTGCCCTGCTCACTGCCTCCGAGGACGGCACCCTCAAGCTCTGGAACCTCCAGAAACCCGTCGCCCCCAAAAAGTGGGTGCTGGGGGGGTGACAGAGGGGTGACAAGGATGGGGACGCTCCCCCCCACCCCCGCCAGGTATGGTTGTCACCTCACTCTTGTCCCCTTTCCAGGAACGCGGCGCTGGACGTGGAGCCGGTGTACGCTTTCCGTGGACACAGGTGGGGGGACACGGGCCAGTCTGGTGGGGGGAGCGGGTGGCTCTGGGGACACCTCGGGTTCCCTGTCACCTTGTCCCTGTCCCCGCAGGGGCCCGGTGCTCGCTGTTGCCATGGGCCGTGACAGCGCCCTGTGCTGCAGCGCTGGCGTGGACGCCCGCATCCGCTGCTGGCACCTGCCTGACCTCGACATGGACCCCTATGACGGCTATGGTGGGTGTCCTCTCCCCTTCCTGCTGGGGGTGGGGGGGACGACACAGCGACAGGGATGACGTGGGTGACATCTGCATGGTGTCACCCCTTTTAGCTGCAATGTCACCACAGTGTTCCCCTCTGGCTGTCATGCCACCCTTCTGGCTGCAATGCCACCCATCCCAGCTGCCGCATCACCCCCCCAGCCACCCTGTTCCCCCGTCCCCCCTGCCCTGAGGTGACCTTTCCCGGTGTCCACAGACCCTGGCGTGCTCAGTGGTGTCCTGGAGGGTCATGGGGACGCTGTCTGGGGCCTGGCCTTCAACCCCACTGGCGACCGCCTGGCCTCCTGCTCCGCTGACGGCACTGTCCGTATCTGGGACCCCCAGCGCGAGGACGGCGCTTGCCTCAGCACCTATGACGCCCAGAGCGGTGAGCCGGGTGGGGGGGGCATCCCCTCAGCATTGGGGACATCCCCACCACCCCCCTGTCACCCTCCCTGTCCCCCCTTCCCCTGCAGAGCATGGTGTCCCCACCTCTGTCACCTTTTCGGCCACCCAACCTGGCCATGCTGTAGCGGCTTTCCAGACGGGCACCGCGGTGCTCTACGACGTGGAGGTGGCTCGACCTCTTTTGGTGCTTGAGGCCCGGTCGGGTGGTGGTGAGTCTCACTGTGACAGGTGTCCCCCGTGTCCCCCATGTCACTGCCACAGGGGCGATGGGACCTGATCCTGGTGTCCCCACACAGGTGGCAGCCAGATCAACCAGGTGGTGAGCCACCCTTCACAGCCCCTCACCATCACCGCCAGCGATGACCGCGGCATCCGCTTCCTCGACAACCGGACAGGTTGGTTTGTTTGGGGCCTTCGTTAGCCCTAATGAGGCTGGGGGAGGGGGTTGGGGACATCCCTGTCGCCACTGTCACTCCCCTTTCCCACCACCAGGTAAAGTCGTACACTCCATGGTGGCCCACTTGGATGCTGTCACCTGCCTGGCTGTCGATCCCAACGGTGTCTTCCTCATGTCCGGCAGTAAGTGTCCCTGTCCTCGTCCTGCTGCTCATCTGCGTAATGAGAGCACCAGGTTTCAGCCCTCCTCGGCCACTGCTTCCTGCATCTTGCTCCTGTGCCCTCCCTGTGCTGTCACCACCCTGGGCTGACCCAGAGGACCTGAAGTTCCCCCAAATTCCTGCAACCCCCCCCTCCTGCACCTTTTATGTGTCTTCCAACCTCCCA